CGGGGTCGGGGGGACCGCGCCCGGGCTCGGGGGGAAGGGGCGGCCGTCTGGACTCCGGCTGCCGCCGCCCGGGGTCAGGGAGGCGCGCCTGGGGCCGGGGATCGGGGGTCCGCGCCTGGGGCCGGGCTGGTACCTGGGGTCGGGGAGGGGGCGGCCGTCTGGACTCGTGCTGCCGCCGCCTGAGGTCGGGGGCGGTGCCTGGGTGTGGGGATCTGGGGTCTGCGCCTGGGTTTGCGGGCGGCACCTGGACTTGGGGGACAGGGAACGTGTTTGGGGTTGAGGGGAAGGGGCGGCCATCTGGACTGCCGCCGCCTGGGGTCGGGGGGACCGCGCCTGGGTTCAGGGATCAGGGATCCGCGCCTGGGGTTAGGGCTAGGGGCGGCCATCTGGACTCGGGCTGCGGCCGCGTAGGGTGGGGTAGCACCTGGTTGGGGGGCAGGGGCGCGCCTGGGGCCTGGGGGGCGCTGCGCCTGGGGTAAGAGTACTGCGCCTATAGGGCCTAGGGGCCCGCGCCTGGGATGGGAGTCCCGGGCCTGAGGTCGGAGGTCGGGGCTGGGCTCCCGGGGGCGCCGCCAGCCGGACCGGCAACGCTGTTTGTCTTTTTAGGTATCTAAAGGAGTTTAGGACAGAGCAGTGCGCCCTGTTTTTGCAGCACAAGTGCGCCCAGCACAGGCCATTTACCTGTTTCCATTGGCATTTCCTAAATCAGCGTCGGCGCAGACCGCTACGCAGGCGCGATGGCACCTTCAACTACAGCCCCGACGTGTACTGCGCCAAGTACGACGAGGCCGCCGGCGTGTGCCCCGACGGCGACGAGTAAGTGCCCGCCAGAGCCGGAGGCCGGGGGCCAGCGCTGCCAGCTGTGACACTGCCCGCCGCGCCCCTGGCCCCGTCAAGGGGCTTGGAGGAACCCTTGTTCACTCTGCGGCCGCGTGCCTCTGGGATCTTTCTTTTCTTGCCGTTTAAAATTTTTATCTTTTTTTTTTTTTAAAGTTGGTAGTAAGGGAAGTTGTTTTATTTGCAGACTGTCGTGTATGTAGCAGTTGTAAAGTTTAAGAAACCAAGGTTTGGGTTGAGTTAGGTTGTTTTTTTTACAAGCTTCCTAGTGGTGTGAACAGATGTCTTTATTTCGAAATCTGTAGAATGGGATAATAAAGGCAGATTGTATATTCACAGAACGGTGGGAATTGGTAGCAGGAAGTTTTGCTTTTTTTCCTGTGGGGTGTTTGAGGAGGGGGAAGGGCGCTTTCTTTCTGGCTCAGGAGCCTCTAAAAGAATAGTTTGCTCAGCTTCTGTTAGGATGGATGTCTGCGTTGGGTCGGGTCTTTTAAAATTTGTACTATTTTTATTGCTGTAAATATATAAGGACCAGAACGTTTGCCCTTTCAGCAACTTTCCCGTTTACAGTTCTGTGACGTTGCGCATGTTCATCCTATTGTTCAGCCATCACCATCACCCGTTCCCGACTTGTTCCATCATTGGGTGGGGTCTTGAAGGCTAATACCCCATCCCTTGTGGGGCTGGGGAGGGGAGCTGCTTCTCCGAACACGTGTTCAGTGGCGAGCGTTTCACGTGGTACATTCAGTGACGTTAATTACACTCTCCGTGTTGCGCAGCCATCACCCGTCCATTCAGGGAGCAAACTTGATCTATGGTGACCGTTTTGGGAACTTTAAACACTTACCGAAAGGCTTTTAGTTGACTCCTGGAGAGGTAAACCGTGTTGTTTGGACCCTGAACTTGAAATCCAGTAGCCAGACCAGCCTGCTGAATGGGGAGCGTTTTTGTTTAAGATGGTGGTGGACTTCTGTGCAATTTTGTAACTGCATTACATGTTTAGTTGCTTTTTGAGCTGCTGTTCTACACACGGGAGCCTTTAGAAGAGATATTTGTGTGGTTGAAGTCTGGACTCGGGTCCCTAAAATCCGTGGTCCCTTGGCCGAGTCAGTCCCTCTCTGCACCTTGGGTCCTGAGTCTCCCGGTGGGGACGCTGCTGCCTGATTCTGGTTCAAGGAATCGGGTCATGGCAATGCCGAGGCCCGTGACCTGTTTGTCTGGTCTGGTTCTAGAGTTGAGTGTGGGGACTAATGCTAACGTTTTCATGCAGAGAGGAAAGCATCTTCTGATAGCAGTTTCAGGGTGCAGAGTCGGGGCGTCCCGTTAGGGGGTCAACTTCACTGGGCATGATGCCCGTGTCCAGTTTCTACCATTGTGAGCGGTGCTTCATGGCACCTCCGTGGACTCCTACTCACAGGTGCGCTTTTGGTGCTGTGCGGACTAGTATGACATCATGTGGAGTTAATTTATTACTAAATATTAACTTGCAGAACAGAACTGTATTCTGAATGGCACGTGGGTCCGTCATTGAGAAGCGTGGTAAGTGGGTCCACGGTGCTTGTGTGATGTGTTCTGTTTTGGATGCAGCCTGTGTGCACTGACAAGTAGTAAGAACATCACATGGGTCTTCACTTTTACTGAGGACACGTAATGACGTGTGTGACAGGCCAGACCTCTCCCCGGGAATCTCTCCTGAGTAATTAAGGCTCATTCCACCCAAGAGGGAGAGGAACTTTCCCTTCATCCCGCAAATGGAATGGCCCCGAATTTGTGCTCTTGGATTACTTATTCTGGGTCATGCAGCATTGCTGTGTAATTCATAAATAGATTCTACCTTTCAGAGCAAGGGGGTGGGCTTCCTTTTATTTCAATTCGTTCATTGTTTTTGAAATTTCAATTTGGGGCGCATGATAAAACATGAATAGGTATCAGAGAGCAAGACCCTTCAGCCGGATTCAGGTGAAATGAGCAAGGAATGTTGTTATTGGCACAGGCTGGGGGCGCCACGCACAGGAAGGGGGCAAGTGGGTGCCTCTCCTCGGCAGTCAACCTCTCCATGGGCACCCCCAGTCACCGGCTTTTCTGGGCAGGAGGGTACCCCTCTCCCACCCCACACTCCCCCCCTTCACTTTCCTTTTGGCATCCCCTCTGTCACCTTGCAGTGGGCCCCTCTGTGGTCACCCTCCCCGTGGGCACCCCCATCACCTGCTTTCCTGAGCAGGTGGCACCCCCTCTCCCATAGCCACCCCTCCCTGTGGGCACCCCCGCAGGGGTCGCCTCTTTCCTCCACAGCCTACCCCTCATCACCCCATCCCCTTGGGCCCCGCTCCTGGCATAGGAAGTGCCCCCCACTTTGTCCGGGAGGACACACCCCTTCCAGGCACAGGCAAGGATTGGCTGCCCCCGACCTAGTGGTCACTAGCCCCGCCCCTGTGGGAACTGCGCCCCGAGACCTGCGCCAGGGAGCCAGGCGCCCGGTCGGGATCCACGTGAGGGCAGCCAGACGGACGCTCGCAGCCCAGATGGGCGCCGGGTTGCCAGCTGCACCTGCAGACCACACCTCAAAACACTCTTTCCAGAGACCCCGCATCCAGCCTGGCCTCCCTGCCGGCCTCCGGACAGTGGTCTTTGTCAGGTGCCGACCGGGGTCTCCCTGGGGTGGTGTATCGGCCACAGCCAGGCTTTCTGGGGCGTCCCTCCCAGTGGTCCCCCAGTCCTGCACTCGGGTCTCGGAGCCACGGCCCACCCTGGCGGGTGATGATGGTAGGATGAGCAGGTGAGGCCGCTGGGGCGGTATTTGTGGTGGTTGTTGACTTGAAGAGAAAGCTTTTCAGAGTGTCCATGTCCAAGTGAGGCTCCGGGCTGTTGGTCTGTACCCTGCGTGTTTGAGTCTGAGACATCCATCGAGAGGTCTCTTGTGGCGTTTAATTTAAAAAGGCCTCGCGCCTTAGCAGAGGCCTAGGTAGCATCCTGTTGGCTTCAGGGTGATGATAAAGCTGATTTAACTTTATGCGTAAACCGCCTGTCTTTGCGGATGAGGTGGAGGCCTAGAGCAGGCCAAGGTGGAGGCCCAGGGAAGACCGAGGTGGAGGGGCAGACCGAGGTGGAGGCCCGGGGCAGGCCGAGGTGGAGGCCCGGGGCAGGCCGAGGTGGAGGCCCGGGGCAGGCCGAGGTGGAGGGGCAGGCCGAGGTGGAGGCCCGGGGCAGGCCGAGCTGGAGGCCCGGGGCAGGCCGAGGTGGAGGCCCGGGGCAGGCCGAGGTGGAGGCCC